CTTCAGCTGAATTCTGCATGATCTAGATTTCTGATAGTGGTGAGGATTGAACATTCAGCTGAACAAGGATTGCATACACTTGAAGCCTTCCCAAAAAGAATGATGGGAACTGTAGTCTACTCCTCACGGAGCTATGATTCCCAGCACTGTTAAAGTACAGTTTCCAGGATTCTTTGGGTGGGTAGGTGTGCTTTTATTGATTGATTGATTGATTGATTGCATTTATGCCTCACATTTTTCTCCAAAGAGCTCAAGGTAGTGTATATGGTTCTACTCATTTAACCCCCCAAGAACAACCCTGTGAGGTAGGTTAGGCTGACTGGCTAGTGACTGGCTCAAGATTACCCAGTGAGCTTCATGGCTGAGTGGGGATTTGAACCCTGGCCTCCCAGGTCCTAGTCTGATACTCTAACCACTATACCATACTGGATCTTATATGTGCTTTAAATTGTATGCAGTCTAAGTTTCACCCTCCTTTCAGATCTTCCTGCTCTACAATGGAAGGGTGGAGGTGGAAAAAGTGTGGCTGTTGTACACAGTCCCCCTATTCATGGTTTGAGCTTAAGTATTGCTATGCCAATTGCTTTTTCCTACCTGCTTTGTTCTCACTGATTTTGTAACGATAAAAACAAAAGTCACTGTGAGAACCTGATTTTCCCATTTGATCATTTTCCGTTTGCCATAGAGACATCACAGTTTTGTCTACGATGAGAACGTGTGCTTCAAAGCTGCAATGTGAAATAAAAGGCTGTTTGGCCCTCGTTCCAAATGGAGACAACAGCAAGTTGATTCGCAGATCTGTGAGGTAGGATGGGAATGGTTTCTTTGGACCAGCCTTTTGGCTATTTCCTTCAGGCTCTGGATATGGACTTCCAGGAATAATTTGGCTGACCGATGTCGGAAAAAGGAGAGCTCATCTTCTTAGGACTTTCCACAAACCTGAGCGGTTTTCTAGCCTGGCTTTCTTTAAAACAAGCAGTTTGACTCTTCCTCTTCAGCCAATAATCAGGGAGGGGGGCACTCCTTTTGCTTTTCCAGAACCCTGTGAGTTGGGCTTGGGCTCCTTTGAATCGACAGTTATGACATAGGGCCAGCTCCAAGCGGGCATTCTGGTGGCCTTCTTATACCAACTGGTAGACCCTGAAGGACTTATCTGATGGTGTCAGCAACAGTGGGCCTTGGTGTGCAATCGTGGGAAATATAAATAAGAACTTGGCCTTGCCACCCAATGATGCTTTGAGTGCCAGGCTCAAAATTAAAATGAAAGGAGAACCCAAAGCAGGTGACAGTGCTGGGGTTGCCAGCTGCCTGAGGATCTCAGGTATGGATGCCATGACTGGAGAAAGGCCAGCTCAGAATGGGTGCTGTTTCTTCTTAACATGGCAGTTAAGCAAACATCGAAATGGCATTTCATGTGAGATCACACTTTTAAACAAAAAACTTGGCAGTTTCTTCCAGTCTGGCATTCATTGGCACCAGACAAATGCGAATGACAGCCTAAGCTTAAACCTATGTGTAAAATTACAGGAGACTGAACACTTACTGTCATAACAGTTTATTTCATTTTGCTTCATTTTTATTTTATTTTTACTGATTCATATATTCTGTGCTATTTTCCAGTAAAACATATTCAGAGTGACTTAAACTGACTCCAGAATATATATATATATGCATTTTAATAACAATGAAAAACAACACCAACACAACTACATACATGAAAAACATACTGGTGCATGTGTTTGTGTACACACATTGTTGGATATGAATTGGTCATAAATGCAAGTAAATATCTGGTTGTTGTACTGCTTCTGATTTCATTTGGGTTGGGGTAAGTTCTCAGAATGCTTTAAGGATCCATTTCTGGATATATTCATAATTAAATGGGGGAAAAGCAAAGACTTACCTCTGAGCAAATATTCATAGAATTGTGCTACAAAATGTTTCAATTTGGCTGGATTGTGCCCTTAACAGGGTGGTTAACACACAATTTCTTCTTCTTATTATTGTGGATATTTAAATCCAATTAGTAGAAGTGTGTCTGCTTTCCTTATTTAAGTGGTATTCATGTCTGATTATCAGACCACTTTGATTTGTCCACAGCCACTCGGATGAACATGGCTGCATTCTGTTTACAATATGCCCTCCTTTCTATACTTCTTGGGATACTTTTGCTTTTAATATTGAAGAGCATGATTCAAAATGTCTTCAGATCTGGTCCTTGCATAGAGGTTTCTCGAAATATACTCCCCTGGTCAAAACATTCCATTTCCTTAACCTACTTACCAGCTCCTTTTTACTTCTGAAGAAGGAGCTATTTGAATTGCTCAGGGCTACCATGTCACATTGTTTAATTAGGCTGATTTGTTTTATGGATGGCTAATAACCACATTCAGGCTCACAACCGAAGGTGTTTACATGGGAAGGTGTGTGGTGTGGGGAGGTATTTTCTCTCAGATGTGATGGGCTGTTTCACAAGCAGATGAAAACACAGCAGCCCCAGCTAATTAACTTGCATCTTGCTGTCAAGGCACTTGAACCTGGTGACTAATTGAGCCTTTTTAAACCAAACGAGTTTCCTTCTGGATTCTCTCTCCTGTGTCCCCCCCCCCCCGGCTACCTATTCAAACATACAATACATATGTTGTTGTTGTTTAGTCGTTTAGTCATGTCTGACTCTTCGTGACCCCATGGACCAGAGCACGCCAGGCACTCCTGTCTTCCACTGCCTCCCACAGTTTGGTCAAATACAATACATATAAAGGTGTATTAAAAGTCATTCTGTTGAGTGAAAGTCAGATTCTGATACCCAGCAAAACCCTTTAGTCTAATCAAGGATTAAAGGTGCTTCTTTTATAGTTTTGCTTCTTGGAGAATCTAACCCCTCAAGACAATTCTTTAAGAATCTGGAGAAAACATGCTTTTGTGAAGGGCCAAAATAACCCTAAGGGGTGCAATTTTACTCTTTCTGTGACCTGCATATTTACTCCGTAAAGGCCAGTTTTCAGTTGGAAGCAAAACGGAACATTAGGGACGAGTTCTCAAAAACTGCTCACAAACATTCACATTTCTACTTTGAGTGTTTTTCTCTTACATCAGAGTTTCCTGTTCCCTTCCCATTTATACTGCTTTCCCTGAGCCCCTTTTGCAATTAGTTTCAGAGACGGGCTCTTAGCTGACATTCCTAGAGAGGCTGCAGTTCTTGGAGACTTCAAAGCAATAGACGTGGCTTGTCACCCTGGAAAGGTAGCCATCTAGGAGAAGGAAAACTCTGATCCTAAACCTCCATTGCCTTGTGGGATATCTTTGGGAGACGAAAAGGCTATGGAGTAAATCCTACACAAAGCTGGAGCAGAGACCCTAAGATGGTTGGATGGTGCCTCGTACGCCTCCTTCTGGCAACTCCGGCAGACACGTTGGTGCTAAATGTATCTCTCTGCTTTCCTTTGGACTACATCACTGAGGCTGAGAGTGGGGTCTCGTCGTCTGGGCAGCCCAGGACCTCCCTACACACTGTCCTGGCTTGCACCCCATGGTTGTCACTTTGTAGCTGCAAATGCAGCAATATGACTTCATACCCAGAGGTGCACTCCGTTCTTTCTTGAGACAGGTGGATGCCAATAACAGCAGCAAAGTTTTCCTGGAGTGAAGGCCTGGAGAACAGTTAGAAAAGGACCTAGCACTCAGCGTGTTGAGCAAATAACAAATAGAACGTGCTGTTTTCATAAACTAGATCAGCATCTCCTCTGGAAAATAACCTGCCTGGCTAAACAGCTGGAGTAGGCAAAACAGCTTGCTGAGGGTGGTGAACCATTTATCATCAGTTAACACAGCTTTTACCAAGGTAAAGTACCACAGTGTTCATGTAACTATTTGGTAAGCAGGTTGGTCTTGTTCATAGCAGGGAAATATTCGACAATGCATGAAAACACCGCCAACCACAGCACGTTATGTCAGTAATACTCATGCTGTTTTGCCAGGTTGCCAAATAATACCTCCACCACTAACTCTTGGTTGGCTGTCAACAGAATTAACCCTTAAGGTACTAACTGAATGACCCCTGCTGTTGCACTTCCAACAGATAGAGCAGAGACTGTTTTAGCTTAGCACAACTGGTTAGACTGCACTGGGTGCCGCACTGCAGGGGGCGCCACAACAATGCTGTAGAACAGAGCGCAAGAGGCAGGGGGTGCCAAATTTTAGCACTGCACCGGGTGCTGTTGAAAGTTGAGAGCCCCAAGTCTGCCACTGGATATAGTTTAGGATTTGTTCAGGGGTTCCTAGAATCCCTGACACTCTTATTTGTGCTAGAGCAGGGGTCAGCAACCTTTTTCAGCTGTGGGCGGTCCACCGTCCCTCAGACCATGTGGTGGGCCAAACTATATTTTTTTTGGGGGGGGATGAACAAATTCCTATGCCCCACAAATAACCCAGAGATGCATTTTTAATAAAAGCACACATTCTACTCATGTAAAAATACACTGATTCCCGGACCATCTGTGGGCTGGATTGAGAAGGCGATTGGACCACATCCGGCCCACGGGCCTTAGGTTGCCTACCTCTGTGTTAGACCAACCTGGAATGCCACTATTTACTATCACTTTGCAATTCCTGCCAGAAAAGAACAGTCTTCTTCTGATTTGCCCTTGATCCATTGAAATGATACAGCACTGCTGTTTTGAGACTTGTCCATAAAATGCATCTTTTCTCCACAGCCACTCCCTGTTTCATCAGGCACATATCCATCCAGAAAGGCGGTTGTTCTGGACCTTGGACAAGACGCTTCATTTCTGTATTATCCAAGCCAATTTGGGGCATATGGAAACACTATGCAGCATTCCCACTGAAAGGCCAACAATCCTAGCTCGGAGGGTTGAAAGCAGTCGACAGAGACCTCTTCCTTCTATCTACTCTTCTCACCTGCCTTGCCACTAATGCAGGGTCCCACTATTTGTCTGTTTGAAATACAGAGAGAAAGTGAGGTACGCACTCCTAAGGCAAGTGCGCGGTGTACATTGGCTAATTAAAACAAAGCCTTCCCAAACCCTCCTGACTGCGTACACTTGTCAGGAAATCTTTATTAGGATATTTATTCCTGTTGTGTCACAGATTGTTTGTATTAAGTTTCCCTTACCCTGTTTACTGTTCCAGGCGATTTTGGGTAGAATTGAAAGTGGAAGAGGTTGAGACAGGGAGCACGAGGCAGAGCAGCTGTCTCGTTCTTTCGATGTGTGTGTAGTATTTTAATGTGCTTCTAATTATTCATGTGTGGGAGTGTTGTCAAGAAAGGCAGGGTGTGTGGTTCCTCTTGTTCCTCTGCATCTATTGTGGTTTCAAAGTTTAAATGGGACACAAATGTGGTTTACAGTGCGTGGCAAGATGCAGTTAGAGAAAATTGGACTTTACAAGACAAACACAAGCAAGGAAGGAGAGTGTGTGCATGAACAGTGTGTTCCTGTTTGACGGGGGCAGGGGGGAATACGCCAGGCTAACTTAGCAGGATAATAATCAACACACACAAAGCCTGCACGTAGAAATGGCTTACTTCCATGTAGTCCTAAAAATATACACAGCTGAGAGAGATGGGGCTGTGGTAGATCACAGATAATGCTGCCTTTAAGACAGATGAGCCCGAAGTGTGAGATGGCTCAAGGGAAAGAGGGAAAGTGCTACATATTTTCATGGAGAGCAAATACATTAACACAGCCACAAGCTTCTCCTTATTGCTTTAAGGCTCCATCAGGAAGCTGGAAAGGACCTGATGCATCCTCACAGCATTTGTTCACTGTCTGTGTCAGAAGGTTCGTCCTTTAGAGTTTCTGTGCTCTGACCTTCAGGGGTAAGAAGAGGTGGCTCAAGACATTTGGCTTCCTGGTGCAAAGGTCAAGATGGCACCCCACCCACGCACCGCCATCCCATCCCACATACAGAAGGTGATTGGACAAGCAGTTGACTTTCACTTCAGCAATGCTGCTGACGGCACAGCATCCTTCACTGCGCCTGGGGGCAGTAGGATAGCTTAGGAGGTGTAGAACAGGCCATGTGACACACACCGCTCTTTTCTCCAGCACCTCTTTTCTGGTGCCCACGTGTTAGCAACACCCACATGTGGATGTGAGCAGAGGGACACCCCTGCAGTCACTGCTGAAGTGTGTAGTCTGGGCATCATTTCCAGGAAGCATTTTTACCAGACGCAGGTGCCACTGTCTACTTTCTAGGTGCCCCAGAAGTGATAACCCTGCAGAGATGAAGCAAAAGAAAGATTAATACATGTTCTTTTTCTATGCAACTTTTATAGTGGGGAGTGAAACAGATTAGGGTTGCCATATTTCAAAAAAGTGAAATTCATGACACCCGCAAATGTGCTTTTCTTTAGGAAGACCACAAAATGTTGAGATTTTTTTTGGAGAAACCTCCCCACAAAATAGTGATGTTAAGCTTTTGGAGCTGTTTTTTCCCCCATCGTGTGGTGTTTTCCCTGACATTTCGCCAATCTGGTAAATTTCCACCCTGACACCATTTTTACACCAGGGCATGTCAAGAATTTTCCTAACGTATGGCAAGCCTAGATTGCTTACTCCTAGTAAAATATCAAGGAAGGACTTTTGAATGGTGTTTGGTTCGCTTATTGGCTGGAACAAACAAAATAAGAACAGAAACCTTTGCTAGATTTCCCCTTTCTGCTGCTGCAAGTATCCAAAATAGGATTTTGTCTACTTAATCATATCTTAGTTTGCTTCTGTCCATAGTACAATATGTTTTGTACATGTGTTATAAATTGTATGATTTTGGTATTTTGATTGTTTGCTTAAGGAAAGAAAAATAATAAAAAAGGCAACCCATGCTCAGACCACCCCATAAGGAATCTTTTTTAAAAACACAAAAACCCTTCACATCAAATGCAGAAATGGGACAAAATGGATGTGTTCATCCATAAATGCATTCTGTCCCATTTCAACATCAATCTACATATTTTTGTGTTTAAAAAAAAGAAGAAAAGGAATGTTTAAATACAGATATTAATAGGCATTTTAAATTGTATTTTCTTTCTACATTTTGAGCTCTATGCTGATATCTTTGAGCTGAAAATTGCACCTTTTTTGTGAAGCATGAAAACTTGTGGATAAGTAAGTTCTGGTCTGCACTTTTGTCCAGGAGGTGTGGATCAGGCCTGTTTTTATCAAAATGGGAAAACATTAAATTCCTTAGCCATTTCTATTATGCTGCAGTAAAATCCAATTTATTGGGATTGTCATGATGTTGACAAATCACAGGATTGTTGCAGGTACACTTTTCTATGTTTACAAATGTTTCTCCATCCGCCTTCACCTCAAAAATGGCAAGGGGTTTTCTGTAGCTACTCTTGCAGATCTCAAAAGCTGTTAGAAACATTGGCTAACCATTAGCCTCAAGAAATGACTTTGCTTGAAAGAAGTACATGAAAATACACCCAAAACAAAACAAAACAAAACAAACATAATTTATATATCTCTCAGATTTCATTTCTGTTTACCAGGGACAAGGAACCTGTGGCCCTCCAGATGTTGTTGAACTCCAGCTCACATCTGCCCCAGTCAGCATAATAGAGTCCAACAACCTATGGTGGGACGCATACAAAAATCAAGCAAGAAATGTATCTCACATCATTAGAATCGCTATCATTTGGTATCTTCCCGTGTCCATAGTCATAGAGCAATTTTCATTTATGCCATACTGATGATATCTTTTCCAATATTGAAAGAAGCTGTCCGTTATCCTAACGTTTTTGTGCCTGACTCGTTGCCTTCTCAAATGCCACTTAGTCAATCACATGAATGCGCGCGTAAAAATCAACAACCCCCCTCCTCTTTTGACTATGTTATAGCAAAGAAAACTACAAGTTTTTCTGCCTTAGGGCATGCATGTTTTCACTGTACTGGATTATATTGTTTCATTCCACTAGTCTCTTCCACTTACTTAAAATGGTTCACAAAACATTTGATTAATGCACAGTAATTCAAAACACACGCGACTAGATGTCACACACAGTTTTTCTCTCTCTGGATTTTTCAGGGTTCCCCCGCCCCTCCTGCTAGCGCTCATGGTGAGCCTGGTACTCAGACCTTTTGATTTCTGAGTACAAATGACGTTCAGGATTTTATTTATTTCATACAAAACGGCCAGGAAAAAGGCTTGCTGTGACCTACTCGGCAAAGGGCTTCCAGAAGAAGCTGCTTTCTTTCTACAAGGGGAATCTCAAGCTACCTCCATTCCCCAAAGCCCACACCCTTTACCCTATGGAGCCCCAAGCCCAGATGTGGGTGGGGTGGGGTTTTTCAGTGGGGAACCAAAATAATTCCTGACCACTAAGCACGGAGACACCATGTATGGCAGTCAAAAGAACGGCAAGTCTTGCTCAATGCATTGTTGTACATTAGGGATGGGGAGACACACATTCTCCCCAGCAAACATCCCTTCCTTCTCTTTAGCATACGCACAACCTTTCCATAGTTCTAAACTATAGGGATAATTCTTATTAGATGGCCATACAATGGTTCTAGACTATCTGGAAAGCTAAAACAGCTGGGGGTGTGGAGGAGGGCAATTGTTGGAAGAAGATAACTGAAGATGAATGAGGGTCCCCACCCCCATTTATGGTGGATGTGCGATCATAGAAACGTAGAATTGTAAATTTGGAAGGGGTCCCAAGGTCGTCTAGTCCAACCCCATGAGATTAAGAGTCTCATATACAGTCACAGGTGGCACTGTGGGTTAAACCACAGAGCCTAGGGCTTGCCGGTCAGAAGGTCGGTGGTTCGAATCCCCACGACAGGGTGAGCTCCCGTTGCTCAGTCCCTGCTCCTGCCAACCTAGCAGTTCAAAAGCACGTCAAAGTACAAGTAGATAGATAGGTACTACTCCAGCGGGAAGGTAAACGGTGTTTCCGTGCGCCGCTCTGGTTTGCCAGAAGTGGCTTAGTCATGCTGGCCACATGACCGGAAGTGAGATGAGAGCCGCAACCCCAGAGTTGTCCACGACTGGACCTAATGGTGAGGGGTCCCTTTACCTTTACCTTTTATACAGTCGTACCTTGATTGTTGAACGCCCTGGAACTCAGAGGTTTTGGCTGCTGAATGCCGCAAACCTGGAAGTGATTGTTCTGGTTTGTGAACGTTCTTTTGGAACACGAATATCCAACAGGGCTTCCGTGGCTTCTGATTGGCTGCAGGAGGTTTCCAAATGTTTTGGAAGTCGAATGGACTTCCGGAACGGATTCCGTTCTACCTCCAAGTTACGACTGTAGTGCAAATTCTTTGGAAATTGGTAAAGAACGTAATAAATAAGACATTTCATGTACAAATCCCTATGCACCCTGTTGTTGTTGTTTGCCTGTTAAATTTAAGTGAGTATAGCAACATCACAGTGGTTCTGGGGGCTATACATTCTAAGAATAGTCATAATTTTGTATACCCAAGCATAGAAATAACAATTATACCCAGTAAAATAGACTTGAATAGAAAAAAAAATCTGGGAACAAATGTACATTATAAACCTTACAATGGTATTACATAACAAGGAAAGAATCTAGTAGCTTAATATGTCAGTAGAGAGTTCAGAGTATCAGGAAATGGTGTGGACTCTATATTAATGTAGAAGCATTGTAAAGGTAGAATAATCAATAGTATGGGAACCTGCTTTTAGTATAGGAATAAGGCTAAGTACTGGGTAAAGAATTTAAATCAAAGCTTGATAAATATTCATGTGTGATAGTTGTTTCAAATGCACAATTCTGTATTATCTGTGTGATAAATAGATGTTCTTGTTTTATGTTTATATATCATGTGGTTTTGTAAAAAATACATATTTGCATATATATACAGCGTGGACTGAAAAACAGAAGAGAATAACTAAACAACCTGATATGGATAAGCAACACTTTTGAGTTGCCAAGTGTATTTTGACCATATGGTCTTCTTCAGTGACAAATATTGATAAGTTGATTAGCTGCTCCAGAGTTGATCCAGAATACACACTATTTCAGGCTTGTTTGTAATCAACAGATTGCAGTGACTGTTCACACACTTGAATCATAGCAATTTTTTTTCACCCACCCCCCACCAGTTTGGTGACTGGACAATTTTATTACTCCGTTTTATTTTAATTACTGGTATATGGTGAGTTCCATCTGTAATGTGTTTTACAAAAAAAAGGAGAGGAAATAAGTAAGAAGAAAATATTAAATAATTCCACAGCTTAGTTTTGCTAAGAGCTTGAGGCCTTATACATGATGGTCCATGAATATTAAAATAGTCCATGAAGTCACTGCACTATAAGATTGGATGAATCTATTCTTCTTTCAAGGTTAGAATTAATTTCTTTTATTGAGGTGGAAATGCCTTAAATTAGCTTATCTAGACAGAACCTTTATTTTCTTTATTTCTTGTAAGGATTAACAACTGGTCGCCCAGAAGCCCAGTCAGGCCCTCAGCGTAGTCATTGATCCAAAGACATAACTCCCTCTCAACCTGATGCTTTTGGAGGAAGATCAAGATAAAAACAGCAAAATTATCCCGTTATGCTCACCCACTTCCCTAGGAGGTGAGGAGTTTGAGAGTGCTGTGGTTACTTAGCTTTGATTTCATTCAGAAGAAAGTCTTTGGAGGCTTTCTGGTGTTTTGTAATATAGTATATAGGTTGAACACTGGTGGTGATGACACACCTTAAACACTGCAGTGGACAGCAGTGGGTAGAAGTCTAGTGCTTCTGTATCAGGTCTCCAAAGAGGCAGCTTAAGAACTCAATTATCTGTACCTATCACATCTTCTATCTTGAATTCCGAATTTGTTTCTCCTCACACAGAGACATCTAGGTCAGCCCAACCTTGGCTGGAGTGGAGGGAGAAATGTTTTCCAGCCATTCAGAAGACCAGCTATTGATGGCGATTAGCCAATCTTCTTTCTAAAAAGGAAGGTTAAGTGGCAGCTTTCCTGGGACTATTAAGATGATCACCCACTCCCTTAATCTTCTCCTGTTGAACTACACACCCCTCAGTCTTACAGCAATACTGTGGTTGTAGTAATCCATTGGGTGCGCCACTTCTTTGGATCATTGATGCAACAACTGCAGTGCACCTCCCACATTATTGAGGGATTTTCAGGGGGAATTTAAAAGCATTCTTGTTTACCCAGGCATTTGGCGGTTGCAAGATATTGTTCCTGGCAACCTAGAAGATAATATTTTTAACTGTTTTAAAAATTCTTTTAAAATAATAATAATATTGATGTGCTTGCTGCACTGGCTTCCTTTGGGTAGAAGGGCACGATATAAATGGAATAAATACATACATGCAATGATATAAACAACTGCTCATCATTTGCTAGGTGAAATGGCAGCCACCCTGAGCACAGCTGGTTACTCTTATGCGTGAGCAAATGGGAATGAGCAGTTGAGGTAGATGAAGGGAGCATTCATCCAAAGTCCCTGCTGTTCTCACTGAAGATAAGTCCATTTGTTGGGTCTCAGCTTGTGAAGGATAGTCAGTGGACAAAATGAGTGTTGCATAGCCTTCAACGTTTATTCAAAATATGGCCCCAGTTTGAAAAGAGCTAATAATTACCCAGTTTGGAGACAGGTAAGAAAAACAACTACCGATATGCAGTAAGTGTACTGGAAATTCACTGATTGCAGAAAATGTAGCTGCTATGAGGCAATTTGTCTTTGTAAGGAGATACGTCCATCAAGAATCCCAAGATGGAGCACACAATGCTGTTAGAAGATTTTTGCTTAATACTTTCCCCCAAGGTGCTTGACTGTATAAATGTACACAATTCATATAAATGGAGTCTATTGTTTGGTAATGGCACCAGAAAACAAATGGAACTGATGCATGCCCTGTTTTTTTGTTTTTTTTTGTTTTTGTTTAAAAGCATCAACAGATTCCCCAGAAGACTTGGCAGGGTTTTCTTCTAGCTTTGCGTCTCTTCATCGCTTCCTGCACCACAAAATTGAAATGTGGTCAATTGTTTGTTTTCATAATTCCCAGCCTCCAGTTCTTTCTCATTCAATTGGAGTCATTTTTTATTAGAGTAAAGTTAGGCTGTCTTCCAGAAAATGATAGCTATTTTGCCCACAAGAAACTTTCAGAAGATGACATGCTTATTAATCCAGTTTTGTTTGTCTTCCAAAATCCTTGAGAATTCCGGTTTCTAGTTCTCTCTAAGGATGGGCTCAGAGTGCAAGTCAACATCCTCAGCCTGTCTCTCTCTCTCTCTGCTGGAATCTGCTGCTGGACGCTTTGTCGGGAAGACTTGCATGGCTGAATACCTCAGTGAAGTGGGTCCCTGTTTATTGCTCAGCTTACTCCATCCTTTGCAAACCTGGTGCCCTCCAGATGTTTTGAACCACAATTCCCATCAGCTCCAGCCAGAACGTGGCTGATGAGAGTTGTAGTCCAAAACAGATGGAGGTGTCCAGTTGGTGAAGGCTGATTTACAGAGTGCCTCTAAAAAACACATATACAAGGCTTCATTCAAGGTGGTGATAAAGTTTTGTCAGGGTTCAGGCAGAAGAAAGAAAGTACTTCTTCACACAACACATCATCAATTTATGGAATTCGCTGCCCCAGGATGTGGTGATAGCTGCTAGCTTACATGGCTTTAAAGGAGATCTGACAAATTCATGAAGTATTGGTGTCTTAAAGGTCTATTCACCATGATGGCTATATGGAATCTCCAGATTCAGAGGCCGCATGCTGTTAAATGCCAGTTGCTGGATGAGCAACAACAGGCCCACATCCAGTCTACAGGCTGTCCAGAGGCATGTTAGATGGCTGTAAAAGTGAATTAGACAAATTCATAGAGAATAAGGCTTTTGATGACTATTAGCCACAATGTTTATGTTCTAATTCCCCCGTTGGAGGCAGTGCCTCTGTGTCAGTTGCTGGGAATCAAAAGAAGGCAGAATGCTTTTGTGCTCAGATCCTGCTTTTAAGAACAATTTGAAAACAACCTGAAGAATTCTGATTTGAATAATACTCTGCCTATCATATGTGTGAAATTCCTTATTGCTCAATGGTGCCAGGTTTATCTTGCAAAAGAAACTGGCTGGTATGTTGTTTTATATCACTTTGATTTTAACTGCTGCTCCATTTGTTTTGTTTTTTAAGATTTGTTATAATTTCTAATTACGTGTGCCTTCAGTTATTAGATTTTGATGTTGTTCTACTGTATTTTTTCTTTATAATTTCTTGGTGATCAGTCACTTTAGGAGGACATTTTGTTTGAAAAGCAGCATAAATATTGTGTACACACACACACACACACACACATACACACACACACTTCTAGTCCCTGGACTACTGTTTAGAGGCTAGGCTGGTTCTCAGATTGGCCAAACTTGCTGTAGACGAAACACGTTGCATCTGATATAATCCTAGATCTGCTAGAGCCTGCATAATATCTTACAATATTCTGTCTTGCTTTCTGCCAGATCGACTTTCCTATACGTGCTTTGATTATAGTGTTTGAGCTAAAACCACCCCCACCAAGGGCCAAATGAAAACCACACATTATTGGAAAGTAGATATAGAAGGCAAGGTGGATGCTCTCATGAACAAAATTGTAGAATCCATACCTATAACCGCCTCTCTTTGTGTGTTCCATTTACTGAGCAAGACCAGCCCAATGACTCAGGCAACTTAGTTACTGGAAAGGAGCTTACGCATACTATGAACCAAAGGGCGACTGACTAATAGAATCTGCGGAGCCTCAGATCTTGTGTATATGTGTGGGGAGCTATTATATAAATATACATGTTTATTTATTTATTCATCAAGATGCTTCCTGAACTGATAGCTCCAAGTCCTGTTTTCTTCTGAATTAAACTCGAAGGCACACTTCATTCTCAGAATAAGACCTACCCAGCCCCATACATCTACCTGCAGGTAAGTCTCACTGAACTCAGTGGGGCTTGTATTTGAGTAGCCATGAGTCACTTTTCTGGGCATACAGAAAGTAGGAAATTGCAAGCCTGGAGCAGTTAGTCACTGTGATGTCATGGAAGTTCATAATTTCCTGGACTGGAATGTTCAGCATATTTATGAATTGAGCATCTGCAAAAAACCGCCCCCCCACCCAGTTTTAATGCTGCCCAAATTGTG